GATAAATACTACTATCTTGAAGTATCGTCATGATGCTTAAATGCATGTGAAGGCTTTATTTACTGAGCACAGGGTCAGCAGTCAGAATGGGGTATTTGGTATTAGTATATCACACAGTACAATCACTGCCTTATACAACTGTGTCAGCCTCCTCCAATGAGAGGGAACAAGGAGGATTGTGAAATTCTTCTGCCGACAGTTTCCAGTTGCACTGTGGCAGCCACAGGGCAGGAAAACAATCTGCCCAACAGGTAGGGTGCCTGCACTTGGAGAAGCATCCTTCAAACCAGACAGCAGCTCCTATAGACAAGCTCCTGGTCAGAGCCTCGCCTCGAGCTTCCGCTGGGGGTCGCAACCCTCCAGGAGACAGTCCCCTCCCCGCAGCCCCCGATTACCCTGGGCCCGGCCAGTCGGCTCCCGGTTCCCCCGGGCCCAGCAGAAACCAGAGACGAGAAGGAACTGTCGGGAGATCCCTGACTCTGCCTGACTCCGCCGCATTCGCGACTCCACGCGTCACGCCGGGAAGGAGTTACCGGGTAAAGGCACCGGCCTAATCGGCAGCAGCGTCCGTGCTCCAGTCAGTCCGCCGGGCCGGGAGCCTCCCGTCCACAACAGCGCTCGCTCGGGAGGAGAAGAAGGAGGAGACAAGCCGGATTGCGGTCATGTGACCCTTAAAGGCGCAGCGCAGAGAAGGCGGAAGCTAAGCAGAAAGAAGAAGGTCTAGTATGCGAATCTATTTTGACCCTTGCCATCTGCCGTCTGCGCGTGGACTTGGCGCGGTTGCCATAGGGACGAAGTGCGCTCTTTGGCTGGCTCCAAGGGTATGATCGTCACCAAAGAGGCCAAAACGTGCTTCCTAGCGAGGCGTAGTAGAGATGCATGATGGGACGCTAGAAAGACAGTCCCATCCTGGGAGGGATTTCCACTCCTACCTGGAGGTAGCCCTCGTCTGGCAACAGTTGCTAGGACTGGGAAGCAATGTCTGGTCCCTGTTCTCTTTAACCCTATTCATAGAATCCTAGAGCGTCAGCATTGGAAGGGACCTTAGGGATTCTTTCTAGCCCAACTCTTCCTTATACTGATGGGGGAGACTGAGGCCCAAAGAAGGACAGGGGTATGCCCAAGGGCACTCGGCTATTCAATGGAGAACAAGACATAGAATCCTAGACTCCTAACACCGTTTACCAAAACTGACCTCCACCTTAAAATGTGCTTTTGTTTGTTGTTGTTATTAGGTGCCATGGAGTCGGTCGCAACTCATAGCGACCCTACGAAACACTGCCGTGTCCTGGGCCAATTGTTGCCACGTTTGAGCCCATTGATGCTGCCACTTTACGAATCCATCTCGCTCCAGGTCTTCCTCTTTTTCTCTGACCCTCCACCTTACCAAACATGATATCCTTCTGCAGTGACAGGTCCCTTCTGACAATATGTCGGAAGTATGAGAGAGGAAGTTTGGCCTTCCTGGCTTCCAAAGAGCACTCTGGCTGCACTTCTTCCAACACAGATCTGTTGGTTCTTTTGGCAGCCCATGGCACTTTCAATACTCTCTTCCAACACTATAACTCAAAAGCATCAATTCTTCTACAGTCTTCCTTATTCACTGTCCAGCTTTCGCATGCATATGAGGTTATTGAAAACACCCTGCCAAAAGCGAGAAGAGGTGTGTGTGTGTGTGTTTGGTGACTGAGGCAAACTTTCTTTGAGCCAATGGAGCAGGTCTCCAGGGGATACAGAGAAAGAGATTTCATATCTCCCAGTCCAGCTTCTTTTCTTCACACTTGTCACTAACAGATTTATTTACACTGTTTATCATCTGCTCCCCCTCACTCTGCCCTACTGGAGAGTAAACTTCTAAGGGCTGTTTTTTTTGTCTGTTTTCTTCACTTCCACATTATTGGGGCCTGCACAAACCACAAACCTTGGCACATGGAGATGGGGGTGGGGGTGGGCCGTGGAGCCGGTTCCAACTCAGCAACCAAGTATAGGGTTTCTGAGGCTGTAAATCTTTATGGGAGCAGAAAGCCTCATCTTTCTCTCGTGGAACCGTTGGCAGTTTTGGACTAGCTGATCTTGAAGTTGTTAGAGTATAACTAATACCCCCCATTTGAAATATTTTAGTATAACTAACAGCCCCCATTTGCCATTTGAAATATAGCATAGTTCACCCTGCTCACTACCCCCCCCCCCCCCCCCCCACCTCACCCTATAGAAAAATAATAAACTTCTTACAGAAAAACCTTGAAGGCCAGAATGACCCAAGGACACCTGAACAAACAGGATAAAACTTAGCCCATCTATACAACCAAGATAAGGGTTTATTGGTGGGTGTACTCCCACTTACAGGATAAGGTTCTGCTGGAATTTACCACCCCAGCTGACAAGTCTGTGTGTTCTAACCGCTCTGTGTTTCTTGTATAAAACCCTGTTCCCCACTTCACTTCGGGGTCAGAGTGATTTGGGCTTGAGCTGACACACTGGCCACGGGCAATAAACTTTGCTCTTTTAAGTTTTCCGAGTTAAGTTCTTTCTGACTCGCATTGCTGCAACAAGGTTAGCAGCCCGACTCCTATTTACTACGCTGCCAGAGTGCCTTGGCACATATAGGCCCTCAATAGTTTTTGAATTAATGAGTGAATGAGTCTGAAGTTTTACTGCTCAAGAGATTACATTCTAAAGTGGACTCCTGGTTGAATGTAGGTTTTGGAATCAGTTCTGGGTTTGAATCCTGCTTGCCTCTGCCACTCACTACATACTGTGTGACTTCTACATACAGTAGTACTACATACTGAATGGTGACTTCACTTCCCTAAGCCCAGTGTGTTGTTAAGTGCCGTCGAGTCGATTCCGACCCATAGCAACCCTGTACAGGGTTTCCAAGGAGTCGCTGGTGAGATTGAACCACTGATCTTGCAGTTCAAATGACTTTGCAATCTGACGCATTAGCCCACAGTGCTACATCTGAAAAACGAGGAAAAACAATACTTCCCTGGCAAGATTATGTAGTTGTTAAGTGCCATTGAGTCGATTCCAACTCATAGCTACCCTGTATAGGGTTTCTGAGGAGCAGCTGGTGTGTTTGAACCACCGACCATTCAGTTCAAACCAACTTTGAGGTCCAGTTCATCATCTCACAGTGCCACACCAGGGAGAATTGATATAATGCATTTAAAGTGGCTAGCCCAGTAGCTGGGGCATAGCAAATGCTCAACAAACAGGAACAATTAATTATTTTTGAAGTCTGGAAACAAGCCATACAAACTATGGGAGTTCAGAGGACTAGATTTCTGCCTTTTCTTCTTTTGGGGAGGTGTGAATAAGGAAGACTGTAGAAGAATTGATGCCTTTGAGTTATGGCGTTGGAAGAGAATGTTGAAAGTGCCATGGGCTGCCAAAAGAACCAATAGATGTGTTTTGGAAGAAGCGCAGCCAGAGTGCTCCTTGGAGGCCAAGATGGCCAAACTTTGTCTCTCATACTTTGGACATATTGTCAGGAGGGATCAGTCACTAGAGAAGGATATCATATTTGGTAAGGTGGAGGGTCAGAGAAAAAGAGGAAGACCCCCAACGAGATGGATTGGCCAAGTGGCAGCATCAGTGGACTCAAGTGTGGCAACAGTAGTGAAGTTGCCAGGATTGGGCAGTGTTTCGTTCTGCTGTGCCTAAGGTCTCTATGGGTCGGTACTGACTCTATGGCACTTAACAACAACAACAACAGGGTGAGAGTCTTGGTGTGGCACTGTAGGATAAGCACTGGACTGCAAGGTTGGTTTGAACCAAAAGGTTAGCGGTTAAAACTCACCAGGGGCTCCTAGGAAACCCTGTACAGGGTTGTTGTAAATTGCAACTGACTTGAGGCACTTAACAATGACAGGGTGGGAAGAATGGATGCATCTGAGTTATGGTGTTGGAGAAGAACATTAAAAGTAGCACGGACTATCAAAAGAACAAAAATCTGAGTTGGAAAAAGTACAGTGTGTATGCTTCTTAGAAGCCAGGATGGCCAGACTTTGGTCATGTTATCAGGAGGGACCAGTCGCTGGAGAAGGACATCATGATTGTTAAAGTGAAGGGTCAGCGAAAGAGAGGAAGACCCCCAACCAAATAGATTGGCGCTGTGATAGGAATAATTAGGCTCAAGCGTAGCTGCAATTGTGAGTATCAGGACACTTTGTTGGTGGTGCTGTTGAGTTGGTTCAGACTCATAGCTACCAGGTATAGGGTGAGTTTGAACCGCTGACCTTGTGATTCAAACCGACCTTGAGGTCCAGTGCTTTGTCCCACAGTGCCACTTGGAGCCAATTCCTCCTAACAATAAGGTCTTGGTGTGCCCTATAGAAACACTGGACGGTTCAAACTCACCAGCTTTTCCTCGGAAACCCTATACAGGGTCACTATGCGGTGGAAGCAACTCGACAGCACTCAACAACACGGTGGAAAGAGGGAAGTGTATGGAGGCGGCTTAAGGTGAGCTTTGTTGTGTACGGATACGAGTTTAAAACAGTGAACAGGCCAAAACGGCTAGATTCGGGCAAAGAGTAGCAGGAAACTTGCGGCTTCAGTGGCTTCAGGGAAGGGGATTGAGTAGGAATGGGGTAGACCAGAGCTCTAGGCATGGCCTTCTTACTAGCAGTGTGCCCTCCAAACTCTGAGTCTGTGAAAGCAGGGTCGTCTTGAATCTGGCGCTCCAGGAACTGCTGCCATAATTGCCTAGAGGCCTTGGCCTTGGGGGCGGGGCAGAGGTGCAGAGGTGGGCCCTGGGGGCGGGTCCTAAGGGGTGGGTTCTGGAGGCGAATGGGGGCGGGTCCTAGGGCGGGAGGGTGGTGACGCGTAGACAAGGGCAGAGTCGGGGCGGGAAGGTGATGCGAGGCCTGGGCTGTGGCGCCGGGAAGGATCTTGTGGACTAGGCGGAGTGTGAGGCGGGTCCTGGGGCGGGGTGGGACACAGAGGCCCGGCCCGGAAGCGGCGAAGGCAGTCTGGGATCGCGGCTGTTGCCAGCTATGGACGATGCTGATCGGCAGCTGCTCCGGCGGTGTCGGCTGAGACTAGTCAGTGAGCTGCAGGTGGCCGAACTCTGGGACTCACTGCTCGGCCGCGGGCTCTTCACGCCTGACATGATCGAGGACATCCAGGTGCGCCACACCCCGCCAATTCTCCTTCCACTACCCTCCCCCCTCACTTTCGGCGCCACCCGCAGATTTCCTTGATGTTGAGTGGCTGAGCTGGGGCCCAATGGTCTGCGGCTTGCTCACAGACTGTACAGTTTCTAAATCACCCTGGTAAGGAAGTCTTCAGTAGAAGAAAGTAGTCAAGGGTCTAATTTCAAGTACCCGGTAGCCACATGTGGCTAATGGCTACTGTATGGACAGTAAAGATTAAAAACAACATTTCCATCATTACGGGAAGTTTTCTAGTGCTACCAGACATTATGTTGTTTGAGGATAGGCTGGTGTTTTCTGCCCTGTAATTCTGAGGAATTGTCCATTGTTGGGTCACAAGCAGGAGTGTTGATAGTGCAGTGGCTAAAAGCTTGGTTCCTAACCCAAAGGTCAGTAGTTCTACCCGCATCTGGGAGAAAGACGTGCCAGTCTGCTTCCATACAGATTTACAGGCTTGGAAACCCTATGGGGCAGACCTACTCTGCCTTGTAGAGTGGCCATGAGTTGGAATCCACTTGATGACCGTGGGTTTGGTTGCGGTCTCAAAGGACAGGTAGATAACTAGCATCCTCTCTCTGCTTCCAGTTTCAGTGATCAGTTTCCCCCATCCTGACATCTGTCTGCTGGCCTTGACAATTCCTCCATCTTCAGAGTCCATCCAGTCAATACCTGTGACCTATCAGTTCTCCCTCTCTTTGTTTCTCTGATCTGTTCTTTCACTTCTTTCCATTTCAGCTATACCATCTTTGTCTCCTCCTGACCATTTGTGCTTACTCTCATCTCTTGCCAACCCTGTCACAGGATGATCAATCTAAAAGACAAATCTGACTATATCATTCTCTTCTTACAACTCTTCAATGATCAATTGCTTGGCAGACCATGTGCAGGTCTTGCCCTTCATTACTGTCCTCCACTGCCTATTTGTGTTTCTGTAACTTTGCTCTTTACTTCCTAATGGTTCCAGAGTCTCAGCTAAGCCATTCCCTTCGAGAGGCCTTCCTGATCCTTCAGGCTGACTTGGGTGCCTTGTCTACTTGTATTTCTTGACTAGGTGTTTGTCCTTAGGAACTGAGACTGGTCACTGCTGTCACAATGCCAGCACATAGTAGATGTCGCCAGAATACTGTTGTTGAATGAATAGTCAAAGATCGGCAAGTGGCATAGACTTGGTTTACTTCTAGGCTCAGTACGTGGCCATGTGCCTGATTGCTGAGACACAGACTAGAGGGAAGATGAGGAACAAGTTGAGATGTACCAGAAAAGTACTTGGGTAATTGGTGCTATTAAATCAGCCCCTAATTCATGGCAACCCCGTGCACAGCAAAATGAGATGCTGACTGCCCATGATTGGTTGTGGATCAGACTGTTGTGATCCGTAGGGTTTTCATTGGTTGGTTTTTGGAAGTAGGTTGCCAGGCCTTTCTTCCTAGTCTGTTTTTGTCTGGAAGCGCCATTGAAATTTGTACAACATCATAACAAAAATCAAGCCTCCACTGAGAGATGGGTGGTGATTGTGCATATGGTATATTGGCCAGGAATCAAACCTGGCCTTCTGCGTGGAAGGAGCAACTTCGGCCATTGACTTACCACTGCCCACTTAGGTAATTAGTGCTCTGTCTTTCTTTCCAAACAGCGGGCAGGTTCTGGATCTCGGCGGGATCAGGCCAGACAGCTGATCACAGATCTAGAGACTCGCGGGAGCCAGGCCCTCCCTTTGTTCATCTCGTGTTTACAGGACACAGGCCAGGATGTGCTGGCTTCACTCCTGAGCACAAGTTGCGGAGCAGTACAGCGGGACCTGGAAGCCATCAGACTCCCCGACTATGAACTCGAACCATTGCGCCTCAACCCGGGTAAGCTAAGGTCCCATCCAATGAAACAGGATCCTTGAAAGCTGCTGTGAGGTAGCTGAGCTCAGGCCAGCGGTTTTCAGATCAAAGGTGCCCAGGCTGGTGGACTCAGACAGGGGAGGACGCTGTGATACCATTGAGTATCCAGAGTGGTTGGTGAGTGGGCCGGATGAGTGGCCATTGGGGAATGATCATTGGTACAATTAGGTGAACTGAGATCCAAGATTTAATTTTGTTGTTGTCTTTTTGAGTGCTCATAAGGGATGGGTAGAATATTCTGGAAATTTTGGTAGCCCCAACTCTGGACAATCAGTTTTGATGTCCTAGGTTTTGATTGAGTTTTTCTAAATCCAAGTAATTGTTTAGGACTTAGCTTTGAGTCTAGATGGATCGTGGGGACTAGTTCAGATCTGGGGTTAGTAAAGAGGGCTCCGCCTGTATCAGGCACCTATATACCCACACCTCCCCTCCTTCCCTCAAACAACGCTGCAAGGCAGCTACCTTATTGATGAGTAAACTGAAGCTCAGGGAGGTTAAATAATTTACCTAAGGTCATATGGTTGGTAAGTGGTGGAACTGGGGTATAGGCCTATAAGACTCTCTTATGTGTCTTCCCAGTCTGTTCACACTCCTCCTCCCCAAAAGGTGATGACTTCTATCACCATAGTCCCTTTTACTTGTCCTTGAACTTCAGCACAAATGGAATCCTCGCTTCTTTCACTTATCATTCTATGTGTGAGATTCATTAACCCTGTTTCACATACCAATAGTTCCTTCTTTGTCATTGCTGGATAAATCTGTGAAAAATCAACCAATTTTCATAGATTTATGAAATTTCCAAGACTTTGCAGAAGTTGACTGCCACCTCTTTCTTCCACGGAGGAGCTGGGGTTCAAACCACCGACCTTTCAGTTAACAGCCAAGTACTTAATTGCTTTACCACCAGGGCTCCTTCATTGCTGGGTTGTTGTTGCTGTTAAATGTCATCGAGTTGGTTCTGACTCATAGAGACCTTGTCTGGGGTTTCCGACGAGCACCTGGTGGTAGTCCAGTGGTTTGTTGCCATCCCGTTGGTTTGGACACATAGTGACCTTTACACTAGAAAATGAGACACTGCCCGGTCCTAGGCCATCCTCACACAATCATTGCTAAGCTTGAGCCCAATGCTGCTGCCACTGTGTTAGTCCATCTCATTGGGGGGGGTCTTCCTTTCCCTCCCTGACCCTCCACTTTACCTAGCATGATGTCCTTCTCCAGGGACTGGGCCCTCCTGCAAACAGGTTCAAAGTATGAGGGACAAAAGTCTTGCCATCCTGGCCTCTTGAGTAGTAGAACCCAGTGATTGTTGTTGTTGTTGTTAAGTGCTGTCGAGTCAATTCCGACCCATAACAACTCCAAGGAGCAGCTGGTGAGCTTGAACTGCCAACCTTGCGGTTCAAACAGCTTTGCAGTCTGGCGCATTAACCCACAGCACTACACCAGGAGAGTCTAGTGGTAGTATTCCTTATTTTGAATAATCTACAGTTTACTTAGCCATTCTTCTGTTGATGAATATGAGAGTTTTCAGTTAGGGATTTGTTTCATGGTAACATGCAAAGATCTAATTCTATGGTTGCCTATGTGTGTTAACAGTAATGATCGTGTTGGTTAACATTGCTAAGCAACGTTTGAAGTGCTTTATGTAAATGATCTAATTCAGTCTTCCCAACTCCTTGGTGAGTAGGTACTACAGTTTCTCCCATTCTCCTCTGGAACACAGTGAGTCACAAATAGGGAATCGAGTTGTGCCAAATCACATACCAGTGAGAAGTGGAAACAGGATCATAGTGCAGGTTTCCTTATTCTGGATGTTCAGCTGTATGGCCCCACAGGTACCCTGCACTGTATTTCATTTGTGTTGCTTCTGTAATGGCCTAGCCTGTACATCTCTCTGACTGGGGATATGTTTCTAGAAATGGAATTGCTTGGTTAAAGGATGTTGTTGTTAGCAAGTGCGGTCAAGTTGGTTCCAACCCATAGCAACCCTGTGTAGGGTTTCCAAGGAGCAGCTGGTGAGCTTGAACTGCCGACCTTACAGTTCAAACGGCTTTGCAGTCTGGTGCATTCACCCACAGTGCCACACAAATCTCACCAGTCATGAGTAAGTGAAGATGGCCATTTTGCCAACAGTGAGAACCAACATTTTTTTCCCAATGTGATGGGCAAAAAGTGGTATTTGTTTTCTGTGCAGAATAACTGTGATTTTGGACAACCCGTGTAAGCAGAGAAATGAACAAACACCTGAGGATGTTTAGCTGCATTTGCATGAGGAAGAAGGCCTATCTTGGAATTGCTCAGACATTTGATTATGATGTGGTGAAGGAAGCAGGTGAACTACAAAGTCCAGCTGTTGCTATCTGGTTCTAGAAAATGTTGAGTTGAGTCATTTAGGACCAGGAGTGTAGACTTGAAGCTTCCTACCCTTTTGTGAGGCATTTGATTTCCTGTTCTGAACACATATTCCTTGTAGGAGCTTAAATCTGAAGGGTGAAATAATACAGCAATAAGATCACTTTCAGTGTGTTTATCACTTTACAATGGCATATACAACTTTGGCTTTCTCAGGACATCAAAGCCACCTTGTACAGTAGGGGCTAGGATAAGCCTCTGTGTTGCTACCCTGATGAGCCCCTTGTTGTTGTTGTTGTTAAGTACCGTGGAGTCAGTTCCGACTCATAGTGACCCTGCACAAGGTTTCTGAGGCTGCAAATCTTTACAGGTGCAGAAAGCCTCATCTTTCTCTTGTGGAACGGCTTGTAGTTTCGATCTGCGGACCTTGAGGTTAGCAGCCTGATTCATAACCACTATGCTAGCAGAGCTCCTTAATGAGCCCTTCAGGAGCGGCCATTTTGCTTTGTGGATCTTTCATGTTCATCCAGGGAATGAACAAATTTCTCAGTAGTGGGTAACAGTTATATTTTTGGGCTACAGTGGAATTTCGGAAATGAACATTGATTGAAAAGTCCAGAGACATCCAAATCACAGAGTGATGATGGCCACTCCACTGGACCATGAGAAACAAGCATTCTTGTACAGTTGAAGGAGGAACTAAAGTTACAAAATCATGATTGGTTGAAAGACTATCAGAGTCAAAGGCAGGATAGCTAATAGCAGAGACTTAGCAGGGATTGTTGTTGTTAGGTGCCGTTGAGTTGGTTCCAACTCATAGCAAACCCATGCACAACAGAACGAAACACTGCCCCCTCCTGCACCAACCTCACGATCGTTACACAATTACACGTTACACGACCTCACCACTGCAGCCACTATGCCAATCCATCTCATTGGGGATCTCCCCTTTTATCGCTTACTCTCCACTTTACCAAGCATGATGCCCTTCTCCAGGTGACTTATATATATATAAAATTATATGTATATGTATATATAAAATTATATATACATATACATATAATTTTATATAATTATATATATAGGATTATAAAGGAGCTCTGGTAGCGTGGTTACGAATCGGCCTGCGAACCACAAGATCAGCAGTTTGAAAGTACCACCTGTTCTGTGGGAGAAAGATGAGGCTTTTTGCTCCCGTAAAGATTTACAGTCTCGGAAACACTAGCAGGATTCAGAATCGACTCCACGGCTCATAACAACAACAACATAGGATTATAAGACTGTTTAAAGGTACATAATTGCAAGTGGACACGCTCTTCAGTTTATTATAGGATGGCCACAGGACAGTAGCAAGACAGGTTTTTTAAAATTGCTTTCTCAGTCATCTGGTCCTGAGGGTCCATTGTAAAGATTTATTGGTAATGCTGTGCATCAAGTTCCTTTGGGCATTAGATGTTGCATTTTGCATCTGTTTGATTGTAGAGGAAAAATTCTCCTGGGAAGAGATTGTGATTTTCTGCACCTGCCAGACTATAGAGAAAAATGAACATCTCCTTTAAGGGTATATGATTGGTGGTGGTGGTGGTGATGTGCAACAGAGTCGATTCCGACTCATAGCGACCCTGTATAGGGTTTCCAAGGCTGTAAATCTTTACAGGAGCAGAAAGCCTCATCTTTTCCCTGCGGAGCAACTTTCGAATTGGCAACCTTGTCTGGTAGTAACCCAGCTCATAACCCACCAGGCTGACAGGGCTCCTTAAGGGTATATGATTAGATTGGCACAGAAGTTAGAGGAACTGCTGTCAGAAAAAGGCAACTATAAAATTCTACACGGAATCTAGACTCATGTCAAGACTTTAAGATGGAGTTAAGGTGTTGCTTTCAGATCGCTCCATTTACACACGCCTAGTGCCTCAGATTTTAGACTCTGATACAAAACCTCGCCTAAGGACCTACTGGATGCTGGGCCCCACGAGTTGTACAGACAGCAAATATCTGCTCTTCTGGAGCTTCCGTTATGCCTTTCTGTTCTAGAATGTCACATCAATGGGGTCACGCCATAGGCACTCCTCTGTGTCTAATTTGAAATCTCAGCATAATATTTCGAGATTTTTCCATGTCTTTTTATATTACCAGCAGCTTGTTCTTTTTGAGGCTGAGTTGTGTGTTTTTTTTTCCTTATGTAGCTGCCATTGTTGTGATTAAGTACCATCAAGTCAGATCCGACTCATAGCCACCCTGTGTAGAGTTTCCGAGGAGTGACTGGTAAGTTTGAACCGCTGACCTTGTGGTTCAAACTGGCCTTATGGTTGAGTGCTTATTATGTAGACTGGAGTACCACAATTTGCTTGTCCACTAATTTGTTGCTTCCAGTTTGGGGCACTTGGATTAAGGCATCTTCGGTGAACATTCTTAGCCAAGGTTTCTGTGCCTATATACATTCATTTCTTATGGTTCTAGACCAGGGAGTGGAATTACTGGTCAGACGATCAGTGTGCGTGTTTAGCTCTGTTGTTGTTATTAGCTGCTGTCAACCCACACTCACAAGGACCTCATGCGCAGTGTAACAAGCATCACCCAGCCCCGTCCCATCTTCATGTTCAGTTGCATATCACACCGTTGTGACCCATAGTTTTCATTGGCTGATTTTTGGAAGCAAATTGCCAGTCATTTTTTCCTTGTCTTTGTCTGGAGGCTCTGTTGAAACTTGTGTAGCATCATAATAACATGTAAGCTTCCACTGACAGACGGGTAGTAGCAGCACATTGGGTACATTGGGCAGGAATCGAACCTGCGTCTTTCACAAGGAAGGCGAGAATTCTACCACTGGACTACTACTGCCCCTCAAAAAAAAAAAAGCCTCTGGTGCCTGTGACCAGGGTGGTGAGGGGACATTAATGAGGAGCAGCATGGGGGAAAGGCCCCTGTGCCATGGTCCCTCTGGGAGAAAAGGCAGCAACAGTGACCCTGCAATTTGCATTTCCCCAGGGACGGCTCAGTGCACCAGCGTCTCTCTCTTTCACGTCTGATGGTGTGTCCTGCACTCAGAGTGCTGTAAACTTGTTTTGTATGATCGAAATTGTCTTACTAAACAGATTTCATAGTTAAAAAAAAAAAAAGCCACTAAACACTTCCTGGTATGGCACTGTGGATTGATGTGCCAGACTGCAAAGTCGTTTGAACTGTAAGGTTGGCGGTTCAAGCTCACCAGTTGCTCCTGGGAAACCCTATACAGGGTCGCTATGGGTCGGAATTGACTCAACGGGCACTTAACAACAGCAACAAACACTTCACCACGGTGATCCAACTACTTGACTCTCCCACAGGCAGAGTCTGAGGGTTCGTGAGAGCCTGCTTCTCTTCGTTCATGTCAGAATTGTCCTCACAGCATCCCTCATCTCGTCCTCCACCGAACCCTGGCATTCATGGTTTCCCTCTTTCTCTCTCGCTCTCTCCAGGTACTCCAAAATGGGGAAGAAATGCTGATTTGGTGAGTCTTCATGTGATTTGGAGCTAGTTGCTGTGACTTGGGGCTTTTACACTATCCATTCCTCAGGCCCTTCCCCACAGCTGTATTGTGACTTGGGGCTTTTACACTATCTATTCCTCAGGCCCTTCCCC